CCCCTGATGAATTTGCAGACTCTGAACCATCTCCATCCAATAATTTTCAAACCAACTCCTCAATTTTTTCAACACCCCCTTTTCAACCAATCCCACCAAATAACCCACTTCCATCCATTTCTACACCCTCTTACGCTTCCCAAGTCACCCCAACCTACTCTTCATTTCATTCAGACCGATCATCCAATTCTCCAGATACTCCCCAAATCTCCCAAGAACTAGATAATTTTATCACCCTACAACAACAACCCTTCCACCTTGACACCCCCACTATAAATCAGATTTCATCCACAATAGAATCATCAAACCCACCTACCCCTACACTCTCTTCAGCTTATACCGCATCATTAGCACCATCATCCACACCCACCGAATCATCAAATAGCACTAATAGAGCTTATCGCACTTTCAAAAGAAAATTCCCAAACCATCCATTTCCAACAAAACCAGGAACAGCCCGTGAATATATTAATCATCCAAATCACACTAACACGAAAGATTTTCTAGCAATCACCTTACCTTCATTTCCACAGTATACTTTAAACACCCCTCATGACACTAACGACACACGTAGTTTTGTAGATGAACATGTTTTAATGCCTACACTTCATTGGACATCATATTATCATTTTACTAATCCCCTTTGCCTACCATTATCTAATACTCATATCGATATAGAAAGAAATCAAGATATGCTATACCGACTCACCACACCACTAACACATAGACAATTTACTTATATAGGATATAAAAAGTCACTAAAAACATTCACTGCACCCCGAGCTAACGAATATACGCTAGAATATTACGATCATAACATCATCCGAGCTAACCAAGACCAATTTTTAGATGATGATCGCTTCGCTAACCCACAAATCACAGAAAAATTCTTCATCAAAACACCATATGTATTTACACTCAATATATTTGATCGCAAATTCGACCACGTCATTTCTGAAGCACTAACCGACATGCAAGCTTACGAAAGTTTTAAAGAAAGATTTCAATTATTTTCACAAACCTTCAATTTCCTTGCACCACATGAACGCGATTTGCACTGCTCACACGACATTATGTTACGCACTAAACAAACCCACACATAAACATATTATCGTTTCATACAAAATCATTTTGATCTGCACACTCCATCAAGACAACCACACGACCGTTTTCAGTTTATTAATTCTAAATACACTTCACCATTTTTTCTTAACTTCACATATTGCATCAAAGATACTAACCTTCACGGTATTCTCCTCAATTATGATCCCATAACCCAAATCTATATATTTTGTCCCATCACGAAGACCCTTAACGCAGAAGAATCCAGACCCTTCCTTATCACACATGAATTTATTCAACCTATTGAAATCCCAATATTAGAATTCATCCACAACACTAAATACAATCACAAATTATATAATCTCATTCAAAACACACCTTATGAGTTTGCAGTTGGCACTGAAGAACTAAAAACTATTAAAGCACTTCAATTGCTTTGGCCACTGCTTCAAACTAAAAACATCATTCGCATACTAGCAAAATTACTAACAAATTCCGACATAATACACGACATCTTCCCCCACGGTTTTTTCCCTGACGACTAAACAGGTAAGTATAATTTATATATATTCTTAACTAATAAATTTACATTAAAACTAACCATTCTTTATCCATGTCTCATTTAGATTTTTAGTCTTCATCCCACGATCATCTGCAAAAAACACAAAAGAAAAATAAAAAATAGAAAACTTCTTCAAATTCTTCTAAACTCTATTAATATTTTGCACTAGATAAATATAATAAAATTCATACCAATGTAGTAAATTAATTTATAAATTGTTTCCCCAAAAGCAGTAAATTTAGTAATGATGAAAATTTGTAACTTAATTTTTCCCCAAAACTAGCAGTAAAATTGAAATTCTATGTAGTAAATTGATAAGACGAAAATGCAGTACTAACCTTTTGATATTTTCATTCACTCGCACAAGAATTCTATCCAAACTCGCACAGCTCGCCCACGAAGAATTGTTTAAATAATGAATTTCAGTTTCAAGTTTTCACACTCAACAACTCTAACACACGATAACAAGTTTCAAACTTTCCTTTAACCCGGTTGGAAAGGAATTATATACTAAACAAAACTAACCAACGCAGCTTACTAAACACCACAACACATAGAATAAAAGAATGACTAAGAAAAGAAAACCAACGGTACCCAAACCGGATTAACCCAGTTTAAAACTGGATAATTTATTCTTTTGAAGACTATTATAAAGTCTAAAAAAGAAATAATAAAACACAAAAAATTCGAAAGACAAACCCATACCAAAAACGATTTTTGAAAAAAGGACACAACCAACGAAACATAAGAAAAACCACCACAAACCCGACATAAAACGTTATCACATAACAGGACCTCTCACAGAAACCGCACGAAATCATACTCCCACTCCTGGCCTAACCCACCAGAGAGGACGTCCTGAGCATGCTCTATAGCCGGCCTAACCCACCGCGCTACATCCACGCTTTGTGACCACACTTCTATTTTTAATAAGAGGTACTCAAGGGTGAGTAACTCTTCAAAATAACCGAACTAAAACTAAATGCTTTTGTGAAAACAACTAACCAAAATCATAATTAAAACACTGAACTAATAAAAATTTTATAAAATGTAAATTATACCTTGCAGTATATAGATCAGCATACAACAACCAAGACGAACATCCAAAGACAAAATGACCCCACTACACTCGAAAAAGAATGGCCAACCACAACCAATATGCCGTCCACAATCACAACTCAAAGGATTTAGAGTACGACTTGACTTCGCAGAAAAGGACTTCATTGAACTAGACCAATGACCACCTCGATGCTCAAGTATACGTACAGATCCGAGTAACAAGGCATCCCCTCCACGCACAATCTCCACGCCATTCCCAGACGAGGTCGAACACAAAAGAAGTTCTCTACATGAAACAGAAAAACCCGTCATAGCAAACCATTCTTAAATCAGATTGATTTCGTTGGGAAACACAGTCGTTGTTACAAGAAAACACAACGATTGATATCCATCATTCCAGCGTCCTGTTAATTTACTAATTGTCCTTGAACTAGTGAAGACACTAATGGAACCTGATCTAAACTACATTTTATGATTGGATAAATTAGATATTTTACCACTGTAAAGTATTTAATATTAACCAATCATGATCCATCTAACTAACAACCCACTTATTTGTAAGTGCTGAAATTATTTGTAATTTCAGCACCAGAGAGATTTGAATTTAACTTAGAAATTAGTTGCCTCTCCAAGAGAACTTCAGCAGCCGCAATAAACCAGTATATCCTAGATCTATTGAGCCTAGCAGAGACTAGTTAAACAACCTGAGACTAGATAGTATAAGAGTAAGATTAGGATCGGTATTAGACTAAGAAGTTGCACGAATCTATCCGGCCGAAAATAAGATAGCGTGACGAGCAGACGGTGTACCCTATCCGAAATTACTCTATGAGTTAACCACTTCGGTCCTAACTCACTAATATAGGTTGTGTTATTTTGTTTTTCATTTCAGTCTCAATTTTGAGTTTTTCTTCATTTACTTCAAATTAATCAGCTTAATGATGGGCTTTTCACGCACTCGATTGCGAAAGCGGAAATGGCGCGAAAACTGCAGACCATTTTTAATTTTTGAAAGTGGGTTTTAGTTAAAAGTTTTTCCAGTAGAATAAAAAATTGCCTGTTGATCCAGGCTTTCTCAAATTGGGTTGGTTTTATCACGCTGTCGGTTAGCAATGGCTATCAAATCAGAGTATCGGCTTCAGAGAAGGTTGATTCCATAGTTTGGGTTGTTTTGAGTACTTCAGTGGATTTTTTTTCTCTCCTCTTCCAAGTCTCACACTGCGGCCCCCGTTGGGTTGTTTGTGGGTAGAAGGGGTGTGCTGAGTCCAGTAACTGAGACATCTAGTGATTCTTGTAGCAGTACCCGTTTCGGTGAATCACCAAGCTATGTTTGAGGTGTTCATTTTTGTCTATACCGTATCTGCGGAACAGCAGACAGGAGAACAGAAAAGCAATGAGCATGAGTCAGTGTTAAGCTCGACTGGTGTGCTTGAGGGCTGATAAAACTCGAGTGTCGTAGGGTTTTGGGGAGATTGTAAGAAGTGGGAGAATACTCTCCTCTCCCGCAACCTCCCACTAATCGCCCTAACTGAATTCTCACTCAATTGAAAGGCCCACTCCAGCCTCGCCCAACTAAGCTCCAAATACCCCCTCCCTACTTTAGTCCTTCCTCGACAGACTTCACTCATGTGTTCCCAATGAATGTCAAAAGTGCTTCGTCATCCCCACACCATACCAACCACTTCTTTCAATCTCCTCAAAACCCTGCCACACTCACTTCTCTTTCGCTCTGGTCCAATCCAGTCGAGGCTTCTCCTTCACTCGGGTTGCATCAGCTCTCAAGCACATCAGTCGAGCTCAACGTTGGCTCATAGCTTGGCTATGAAACCAAAACTGTGTCTCTGACTTGGATATGACGACGAAATATCACTCAAGTACTGTAAACAACCAAAACCAAGCAATCACCTTCTCAGAAGTGCTGTACTAACGTGTCAATCGTTCCGGATGGAAATTTCATGCGCTGCCTCTAGATGGGGCAACTACAACAACAACATTGATCGAAAGAACCACAGATATCAAACAGCTCGCCGGAGATAAACAGCTCTAGTGCGTCCAAGTGGAAAAAACTCACCTACCACCCGCCCTCCCCTGCCTCGAAATAAAATCGGAATCTCTGTGTTTATAATTGCTCAGCATGTACTTCATTTATGTTTACTAATTGTGAGGCGCGAATTTGAGAATTTTTTAGTCATGTGATTCTAACAATTTGTGGTTTGTGTCTAAGTTATATTTTTATAACAAGATTAGAGCGTCACGTGTTTCTAAAAAGAGAGTTCCTTTGCGTCTTTAATCTATTTTGTTCACCGCAGTTCGTATGATACGCAGTATATTAGCTACGAAGAAAAAAGTATACCTTACTCTTGTTAGCTCTCCAGAAGGTGTTTAGTTGATCTATTTGTAGCTGCTAATTAGATCTGTCGCCGAAAACATAATTGTTCATTTGAAACTTATTGTGAGCATAGCTCTACCGAAAAAAAAATGTGAGCATGATTGAAAATGCTAAATTTGTCTCTACTGAATGTGAAAATTTATCCTCCTACCGTTCCCAGATCCTTGGCAGGTGATTGGACGGCACATCTCAAACATCCCTCCCCTGCTGAAAGAGAGATCGAGAGACATGCTCGTTACTTGGGAGACAGAGGCCATTTGATCACCTCAATCAGTGCTCCTGACATTGCATCTTCTGGCCTTGTGACAGAGCGAGAGCTGCGGCATATTCTGAATCCGACCAAAAAATACGACTTCAGTTTCGACAATGAAATCGCAGTGACTAATTTGTTTTTCAGTGAGAAACAGAAACAGTTTTTTAAGTTCAAACAGATCATTAAAGCGCCTGACCCGAAAACCATCCAACATTTTCTCAGTTTTTTGCCCATTTTTGCTAAAATTTTCCAGTCTTTGGAGAAGTTTTTGACAATATGCATTCGTTTTGAAGAAAAAAATGACGAGTTGGCTGAGCTTAAAAAAGAGATCAGAAGCTGGAAGGAAAAAAATAGTGATATTGAGCTGGAATTTGCAGTGGGCAGCGAAAGCTTCTTCTGTTTGGAGCCAATGAGAAGGAGTCGTCAGAGGAAGGAAGAAGAAGAAAAGTTGAGATTGCTTTTGGGAAGCATGCTGAGATCATGTGGAGCTGACGAAGACTGCATGTTGACTCTGCAGAGAAAAAACATACTTCTCGGCCGACAAAAACTGGATCTTGTTGAAGATCTGGCAAAGATAGCGAGCAGCTCCGATAACCACAACGGTCTAATATCAATTCCAAATGGCCAAGACCTTATTGGCAAATGTGCAGAACGTGAAACGGATAAGTATGGAACGTTGAGTTGTGAAGCAGTGCGAAAATATAGCGGGGAAATTGCAGATTTCTACGACAAAGTAATCAAAGCGATGGCGGATAAAATGGGAGGAACTGCCGTCTATTCAGTCTCTGAGAAGATGCTGCATAGCTACATCAAGATGGCAAAGGGACATCGATACGAGTTTGACTGGACATTGTTCACGCACAACAGTGTGTTCTTCATTGAAGTCAGTGATGCCAAACATCGTAATAAAGTAAGTTTATAAAAGTGAAAAAGACTTCCTGCTACTGCTTATTTTTAGCCCCATAAAAAGTTTGATTAATAAATGTTTAAATCAATTTCTTCATTTTATATGGTTTCGCTCTGGGGCAAAACCATAGGTTTTTGTTTTCTTTTTCACTTAGTTTAGAGTGAAAGAAGTGTTTACTTTTTTGCAGCTCCTTGATGAGCGTTGTTTTTGTTAAAGAAAAATTTTTTTAGGTTTAAGTTGCTCTACTTCGCAAAAACTGTCACAAAATTGTATTGTCTGAGTTTGAAACTTTATTCAGATAGCTTTTGAAAATTTTTTGATTGAAAAAGCGATACACTATCTTTATGGGAAATTGTATGACAAGCATTTATGGAAAAGGCTTGTCATACCATTTTCATTGAAGGGTATTATATCACTTTCAGTCAACTAGTTTTTTTAGAAGAACCATAAACTGAAGTTAGGGATGAAAATCCGGCCAAATTTGTTCATCCTCATATAAAATCTCAAAAAATCGAAGAAAAAAATCAGTATTTTGAAGCAAAAATTGCGTGCTTGGCAGAAGACGTGTAAAAAAGTTGGTTTTTGCGTTTATAAGTCCAATTCGAAAAGCTACTGTAATTACTTCTTTATACTTTTTGAGCACCATAAAAAGTACTAATTACGACTAAAAATTTACTTTTTCCTTGGACTCCATGTATAAAATTATTATAGGCATTTTTATTGTATGGTCCTTAACCCGGGATCTTTCATAAAACCTCGACCAGGATGTTCGTTGCAATATAGCGATGTTCGATGCATGACTAATTTGTTTAAAAAAAAACGTTTAACCTTTTTACAGGGTCTAGAAGGGCCGGAGTTGCGGAAGCTGAAACAGATATTCACCACGATCGTACCATTTGCACTGCAACTCATTCACTGTCTGATGACACAGCCGTCTTTGAGTATACCCAAGTCCACTCATCGACACTTGATTAAGAATTTCCGTGACAAGTACCTGAAGGTAGTGGTATTTGTGAAAGGCATCAGCCAGAACCAGTGGCGCAACTTTATCTGGTATAACTCGCCGGGTGTCTATATCAGGTATGAAGCTATTGCCGAGATGCCCTTCCGAAACGGAAAGTACCTTATACCGTTCCTCTACATTGCTGCTGTTGATGAAGAAGCAAGGAGTGATTTTCTGGCTGCGAAAGTGCACCAGATGGAAATCAGCAGAGATAGCAGACACAGCCAGTGGTTCTACGGTAAACTGCAGGGGCCTCAGTGTACGTTGGAAGAGTGTCTGAGGACTGCACAATTGCAGAAACAGAAGAACAGTTACGACATGCAAGCACATGTTGACCGAGAAGGGATGCTGCTTAAATGCATGCGATTCATATTCTCCCAGGCTGCACGTGAACACTATGCCTGTAAGTATGTTTGCGGTGTGCATCCGAGTTGTGAAAGATCATTTTTTCTTTTCTCCACCTGCGAATTTTGCGCCGGATTTTGAAAATATTGGCATGCGGAAATATTAAGGTATCACAATTATATTTAGTTTTCAAAGTTAGACTGGTAAAAGCATTGGTTAAAGAAAATTGATGCTCATTTGAGGCGATTGAAAAAGAAAAAGAGCCAAAGAAAGGATCTGTTACCGGCCAACAAATATATAGTTAGATTGAGAGTGGCGGCGTATCATTTTGAATGCATCTCTTCGCGCATACTTTTCAGTCGGCCATTGGTTATACTGTTTGAGTTTCGTTCCGTTCGAGCTCTGATTTAAATATGTAAAGAACAACACCGTGTCAAATGGAAATAAATATTAATGGAAATGCGTCAGTTGAATATCCGGAAGTGATGCATGATGGGATTTGGTCAAAAATTGTTTACCAAATGTGACGTCCCTTGGGTCGGAGAGAGATCTAACAGGACACACTCTTCTCTTCTCCGCAGCATGCTGCATTTCTGCAACAATATGACTTTTAGGCGGCCTCAGCAATCAGCAGCTGGACTTGATCAATGACCGCGCAAACCCCTTCAAGTTTATCTTGGGCGAGCCAGGCACTGGCAAGTCATACGTTTGTATGGCACTAGCCAGAAAATACATGATGGAGCTGAAGTTTGACAAGATATTCTACCTCATTCCGAAAGAGAAGAGAGCATGCAGAACCTTTGTGGAACGATCATTCCGCGACCACTTCGGAATTGATGTTACAGATTGTGGCCACTCGCGTAAGTCTTCTCTTATAATTGTACCACAGTCAACCACCACAATTACTCCGCACAAGTGTCATGGCCGTATAATGTTTGGCCATGTACTAAAATATCAAGCATTTGTATTCCGGGCTCTTTTCCTTTTCTTCCTGCAAGGTTTTACAAGTAATTGTTTCGTTCATATCGTCGGATTACTACTAAAACTAGCATGCTGACTAATTAAGCTTTGACCAACATATTTTGTCTTCCTACTTAACCTTGTAAAACCTCTCGTTCCACGCTAAAATGGAATCTTGTATGAGGTGAGGGTGGAAGAAAAAGCCATATTTTGCTCTCCTCATTCATTTTGAGTAGTTAATTGCCCTTGCAGTTAGCAAAAGTTTAGTAACTGGGTACAAAAATTTTTCCCAGTGAATAACTTTGTTAATCGAACTCGCACGTGAAAAGGCTACATGTGTTTATTTTTCCTAATTATTAAATCGAACTCAAAAAACATTCTTTACATTAGCGTCCTACATCTTATAGGCGTCCTGCTTCTGATGGGCCTTCTGCTTCGTATAGGAGTCATGCTTCTTATAGGCCTCCTGCTTCTAATAGGCCCTCTGCTTCATATAGGCATCCTGATTCAAATAGGCCTCCTGATTCCAATAGGCCTCCTGCTTGTAAGACGAGTTCCGCTTCTATTGGGCCTTCTGCTTCTATTGGGCCTACTGCTTCAAATGAGCCTTCTGCTTCAAATAGGCCTACTGCTTCAAATGGGCCTTCTGCTTCAAATGGGCCTACTGCTTCAAATGGGCCTTCTTCTTCAAATGAGCCTCCTGCTTCTAATAGACCTGCTGCATATCTTTATGAGACGTTGTTGGTGGACAGTTTGTAAATACGATTTTTGGGAATCCTTGTTCCTTATTCGGGATTAACTCTCTAGCATCATGAATGTTTTGTAGCGAGATCGATGTCGTTGAATGTGTCGTCCAGTGCTCATAAGTGGTTGTAATCGTTTTTCTGTGCCAACGTGGGTCGGATAGGTTTTCCCCCTCGCGACCTCGCGCTGTCGGGGACGAATCCCCCTTTGTAATCTTTTGTTTAGTTTCGTCGTCTCATTTTGTCTAGGTTGGTCTCCACTGTTTTGATGCAATTTATATAATTTTGTTTCTTTTAGAATTTTCGTTCGCTGATTTTCAAGTGTGCAGTTGGTCAAGTGAGTTTTTGTTTTGAATCTGATGACCGTTTTCGATATGTTTGGAAATTTTGAAGTGCACTTGAGATTTCAATTGAGCTGTTGCGTTCCTTTTATTTTTGCTCAGTTGATTTGGAGCTCGATTTCGAGTGGCTAGTTCGTTGAGTATGACGTCAATCAACTAAAGATTGGAAATGAACGAGTCAATTGACGCCTCAACAAATTCCTCATCTTACTAGCTGGGGTGTAGTGCTAATCCTAATGGGTTTCTGAGCGTATAGTCTATTAATCCCACTTTTGTTCCTGTCAAGTGTTTTTATATCAAATGTAAATGGGATTAATCTATTAATCTACCTAGTGAGCTTGCTTTGGCTAGTGTTTGATCGTTCGCTGGCGCTTAATGCACTAATTAAAGCCTGGTGGTCTGTGATGAAGGTGAAGTTTTTGCCATATAAATAGTATTTGAAATGTTCAATCGCCCACTCGATCCATAATAATTCTACCACTCGATCCTTAATAATTGTAACTCGTTTACGGAGTAGACGAGTATAAAAATACTCGTATACTCCGTAACGAGCGAACAATTACAGACTAGCCTGCTTTGGCTAGTCTTTGATCGTTCGCTGGCGTTCATTGCACTGATTAAGCCGGGTGGTCTGTTGTGAAGGTAAAGTTTTTGCCATATAAGTAGTATTTGAATTGTTCAATCGCCCACACGATCCTTCATAATTCTAACTCGTTTATGGAGTATTTTTCTTCTAGGGAATTCAAGAACCTTGACGCATATACAATTAGTACCCAACCCTCGTCGGTGAATTGTTCGAGGACAACTTCTAACCCAAAAGTAGATGCGTTACATATCACCCGGGTCTCTAAGTTTTGGTTTAAGTGTTTGTTTGTGTTAAAAGTGTTCAGTTTTTTCAGATGCGAGTTTTAGGATGTCATGGAATGCTGATGTGTGCTTTGGCTCCAAATCCAAAGTTTTGTGTTTGTCTGAACTTTTTAGCAATGGTTTCAGTGCGGATGCAGCTTTTTTCGAGGTTCGGTAGTATCATGTGAGGTGATGTTGATGTATCGAACTCATGAAATTTTTAGTTGTTTGAATGTTTTCGGTGTAGTGGTATTTTGTATTGCGTCGGTTTTACGAGTTAGTGATTTAGTGCCCTCGCTACTTAAATGGTAGCCAAGCCATTTTTCCTGTTCGCAGGCGAACTTGCATTTGTCCAGTGAAATTGCTAAGTTTTCGTCGTTTAGGTTTTACAACACCTTGTGTAATAATTCTTTGTGTGTATCTTTTGACACTTTTGTTACAATTATTATGTCTTCAAGGTATGCAAATGTGTTTTCGAAATTTGTGAGTGTGAGCTCTATAGCTTTTTGGAATTCGCCGGCATATCCGTGAGGCCATAGAATCCCGTTTGGAACTGATAAATTCTCGTCGCTTTGCCCCCATTGAAGCTGAACTTGCACTGGTTTCTTGTTTCCACATCCAGAGCGATTTGGAGTATGCATAACGTAGATCGATTGTCAAGAATAGTGTTTTCTGTTTTGCTTCCGTCTTGATAATCGGTGCAATTTTGTCTAGTAATAATTCGATGTTGGGCATTTGATATTTTTAATGTGGATAAATTTATTGATTTTCTTCGAATCTATTGCCAGTTTCACCGTTTTGTTCTTTTTTACTGTTATGAAAATTGGGCCGATGAACTGCTTGTCTGAACACTTATCTTGTTTGTTGACGTGATTTTGATATATCAGCTTGTTTAATTCCGCTTCTACTCATTCTTGTAAATATATTGGTAGTCGTCTTCCTTTTTGTTGTATTGGGTTATGTATCAAGTCTTTTATGAATTGAGTTCGCTTTACGTGGTTTTTTTTCCCGATTCGAACGAATAATTGTTGGAAATTCCCTTCAACCCAGTTTTTATTTTCCTTGTCTGGTGCTGCTTCTTTTTCGTGGATACTCAGGACCTGGTTGTGTTTTGGTTTGTCTTGTACTGGTCTGATGCCGATTTTTGGTAAAATGCTTCACCCGATGATATTAGCTTTTTGGCCGCCTACAATGATGAATGGTGCAGATTGGATGGTCCATCCTCCGGTTTCCACCGCCATGATCACATTTGGATCACTGTATTTTCTATTGTAACAGGCAAGGTTTCGAGCGGCTTCCTCCGATGGGATATTTTTGAATATTACTGAGCGGTCGGTCTTCCTGGATGTCTATGGAGTTTCGTACTTCAAATGCTTCTGAAATCGCCAAAACAGTAAAGCTGTCTTGTGGGATTTCTTCTCAGCCGTTTGATGATGTAAATTCTGCGTACGTCACTGGGTCGTTGTTGTCTTCGTTGTCAGTGATTTCCTCTTCGTATTTCCGTTGACTTCTGTTTGTCTCTTGCATATAGTTAACATTTGTTGATCTGCAGACTTTTGCGAAGTGACCACGTTTAGCGCGATTCGTGCTTATTTTGTCTTTTGCTGGGAATGATTGTAAGTGGTTTGGACCAAAGTGTTTGCCTTTGTGTTTGCCTTTGTAACACCTTCTGTTCTGTTTATTATGCTGACTTTGATAACCTCACGCGTTGTAGTTTCCACGGAGGAAACTGTTTCGTCCTCTTTGATTTCCCCCGCCCATTTGATTGTTTTGATATCCGTTGGTGCCACCTCTTCCGCGTGAATGAATATACCCCATCGCTTCCTGTTTAAGTTTTGTTGTGGTTGTTGATGTTCCAAACCGATTTGTTTTCATTGCCTTGCTGTGCTCTATACCTTTTTCTCTCCTAATTGCGTGTTCGTACGCTGCCCGTGGGGACTTAGATCCTGCTAAAACTTATTCGGCTATCTTTTCGTTTGACATATGGGCCGTGACGAACCCATTCGTCTACTCTGTCCCCAGAGTAGGCCTGTGATGCTAATAAATCTACGAGGTCCGCATGAAATTGTTCCAACGTCTCGTATTTTGTTTTCGAAATATGAAGTTCTATCGTTCATAAGCTATAATTCTTGTCATGACGAAGATACCTTGAAAGATTCGCATGCGGTCTCTTGTCGCCGATTGAATGTCAAGACTCGGTCTTTTCTGGTGCAATGGTCGTTGACCTTCTGCTCTCAGACATAGAAATATATAACTTCTTAAATTGGCATCCGCCTCATCCCAAAGTACGTTGTTGCAAAAAACGCCTTTGTCTCTGATTTTTTTTGTGTTTTCCCAACTGACTTTTTTTCTTGGTTGCAGATATCTCGGTCGCGCTTTTGCGCTTCTGTTTCTCCATTGATTTCAACTTTGTAGGTTGGTTCGATATTTTGGAGGTTTTGCTCCGAGCAAAATTTTTACCTCTATTCCGTCTTTGGCAAACCCAGCCATTTCCATCATGGCTGCCCACTTTGAACATTCCAGTGGTGGTTCTACTGATGCATTTTGCCAAAATGGTGGAATACTCAGCGGGTTCCTATATCCTGCTAGCTGCGCAATGTCATACCGCTGTTCTAGAATCCGAACGGATTGGCTTTATATCTGAATACTTAGTTCTGTCTAAAGAGAGATAACTGAATTCAAGGCAACTGACCGGTTAAGCTCACCGATACGTTTAGTTCATATCGGTCTAGGCCATCTGCTTGGCCTTCGAATGAGAAGTATATCTGTATAAATACATCATATTAATTTACGCCAATCCGCCTGACCTAAAAAAGGTACAATTTTCGAAGAGTTTATGATAAAAAAAATGATAGTTAAAAGTTTTTTCGTGGTAAAATTTTAATTTGATTTAAGTTTGAATTTCAGTAGGACAACTGAACTTGAACTTTGACTTGTTTTAGAGAAAATTGTGATTGCAGACTGCCAAAGATCAGTTCTGGAGCAATTGTTAGAAAAGGAAGCTGACTACTTTGGCCGAAAGATGGGCCTGATAATTGACGAGTGCCTGGTGTCTTCACTGAAGGAGACACTTGAATTGGGAGGAGGACTCTCTCTCCTATTTCCCCATTTCGACATGGTCTGCATTAGTGCTTCGGTGGGGGGTCAGATGGAGTGCAAGCAGGGCCACTACGGACTCCTATACCCCACTGGATTCCACAGATACGTGTTAAACGTCGGCTACAGAAGCTCTAGTAGTATCCTCCTCTTCAACTCCAAGATGCTGCACTCCATCACCAGGTGTCCACTTGACTCCAACCACATATTATCCCTTCTATCATCCATTGTAGCTTCCTCTCTCATAAACGGAAGCCACCAAAAATAACATTTTGAAGGGTTTTCCATTTTAATTTTCCATTGGCTGCAAGCTTTTAGGAAGTCTGGCTATTTTCATTTTAAATGCCCCTGTAACTTTGTTTACTTTCGTTCCGTTAATTCCTTCATTTCCTATTTCCTAACTAGCCTAGCGTATTGTATAACAGGACTGCTGGTATCAGGGCACAATCCTAGACTATCCTAACTATAGATGTCAGACTGTCAATATCAAATCTTAAGCATTAAACTTTGAGTCGATATAGGGGCATAATATAAACAATTACTTTGTCTAATTTAATTTTTTTAGAGATTTGAAGGTGTTATTTGCCGCACATAATTACCGCGTTAACAGAACGGACGTTTCTCGGGTGAAACGATAAGAAAAGAAAGAATTTCGTTAATTACACTAGCAAACAGAGTGTGTTAGTACGAACCTTTTTTTTCCAACTTAAGTCGCAAATGTTGGTGCCACGGTTGGGGCACTTGTACGGGTTTTTGATAGAATGTGCTTTGACATTCGAATAGTAATAAGTTAACACTGTTGATGCGTTTTTAATTTATCAATTGAACCGAAAAAGTTATTTGTTTCAAACAACATATCAATAATGAAAACTCGATTTCTGAAATTTTCTAACTCAATATATCTCGCAATTTTTTGAAATGCTTAATTTATACATAATGGTTTTTATGCTTTGCAATTTGTTACATGCAAAATTAGTGTGGATGCCTTCAGTTTGTTATATTCCAAATTATTACTTGCAAAATTGAGTCTATATGTGTTTGGTGCACTTTTGGGGAAACGCATTCGCAATTTATTAGCAAATGTAGCTGCTTAATACTCGACTAGTTATTGTCTGTTATTAAACTTTTTATTTAAGCGTGGCTGAGTGTATAGTGCCTGAGACTCAAAATCTCTTGATTGCATTAGGTCGCAGATTCGAATCCTACACATAGCCGAGTTTTTGCTAATTCGAGGCTTATTTCTACTTTCTCTTATTTCACTTGATAGAGCTAATTTTTGGGCGTGTTTTTGCAAGTGTTTGCGAAGCGCAGCTTCGCCTCTGTAAAATGTGTAAATAATCAATTATTGCGACAAATAGAGACCATATAATGGGTTTTTAATGCATTATAACATATTGTAGTTCATTTTTAATTTCAATAAAATCGATCGTTTTCTTTACATGAAATCCATAAAAAGTGATCACATGTGTAGATGTTCACTCTATTTCGCCCCACGTCTTACAGTCACCGCCTCCATCCCCCGCCCCGCCTCCACTTATGCGCTAAAAATGCAGAAGGGCAAAGAGGGTGAGCTAGGCGAGGGCGCATTTCTATTTATTTACTTATCTTGAGTGTACATCAAATAATCAAAGAGCAGACGTCAGATTACTAATTTAGCCCAAGAAAGGATAGTAAGAAAGCCAGAAATAGGCTTGTTGAACGCTACGCTAACAATGAATCAACAAAAATTAATCAGAGCAGTTAAGTTGCACCAAAAAATTAAAATTTGTATAAATATGCATTCAAAACAAAAACTTAACACAGGTAGCTCTGGGGTGAAGCTGCTGAATATTCGGCTTCATAAATTAACCTAAAGGTATAAAAAACTAATATAATTTGTAAGATTAAGAGCAGTAAGATAAGACAAACCAGGGTCCAGCTCAACTCAGCCGGGAAACCAAGTTTCTCCGATTTTTCCTCACTTCCTTTCCTTGAGTCCACGCGCTGGTCCCTTCGACGAGGTAGCCAGCAGGCCTTAGAATGCACTCAGAGAAGTTAGAAACCTCAGCTTATTCCTCACTTCCTTTCCTTGAGTGCACGCGCTGGTCCCTTCGACGAGGTAGCCAGGCCTTAGAATGCACTCAGAGAAGTTAGAAACCTCAGCTTATTCCTCACTTCCTTTCCTTGAGTGCACGCGCTGGTCCCTTCGACGAGGTAGCCAGCAGGCCTTAGAATGCACTCAGAGAAGTTAGAAACCTCAGCTTATTCCTCACTTCCTTTCCTTGAGTCCACGCGCTGGTCCCTTCGACGAGGTAGCCAGCAGGCCTTAGAATGCACTCAGAGAAGTTAGAAACCTCAGCTTATTCCTCACTTCCTTTCCTTGAGTGCACGCGCTGGTCCCTTCGACGAGGTAGCCAGGCCTTAGAATGCACTCAGAGAAGTTAGAAACCTCAGCTTATTCCTCACTTCCTTTCCTTGAGTGCACGCGCTGGTCCCTTCGACGAGGTAGCCAGCAGGCCTTAGAATGCACTCAGAGAAGTTAGAAACCTCAGCTTATTCCTCACTTCCTTTCCTTGAGTCCACGCGCTGGTCCCTTCGACGAGGTAGCCAGCAGGCCTTAGAATGCACTCAGAGAAGTTAGAAACCTCAGCTTATTCCTCACTTCCTTTCCTTGAGTCCACGCGCTGGTCCCTTCGACGAGGTAGCCAGCAGGCCTTAGAATGCACTCAGAGAAGTTAGAAACCTCAGCTTATTCCTCACTTCCTTTCCTTGAGTGTACGCGCTGGTCCCTTCGACGAGGTAGCCAGGCCTTAGAATGCACTCAGAGAAGTTAGAAACCTCAGCTTATTCCTCACTTCCTTTCCTTGAGTCCACGCGCTGGTCCCTTCGACGAGGTAGCCAGCAGGCCTTAGAATGCACTCAGAGAAGTTAGAAACCTCAGCTTATTCCTCACTTCCTTTCCTTGAGTCCACGCGCTGGTCCCTTCGACGAGGTAGCCAGCAGGCCTTAGAATGCACTCAGAGAAGTTAGAAACCTCATCTTATTCCTCACTTCCTTTCCTTGAGTCCACGCGCTGGTCCCTTCGACGAGGTAGCCAGCAGGCCTTAGAATGCACTCAGAGAAGTTAGAAACCTCAGCTTATTCCTCACTTCCTTTCCTTGAGTCCACGCGCTGGTCCCTTCGACGAGGTAGCCAGCAGGCCTTAGAATGCACTCAGAGAAGTTAGAAACCTCAGCTTATTTCTCACTTCCTTTCCTTGAGTGCACGCGCTGGTCCCTTCGACGAGGTAGCCAGCAGGCCTTAGAATGCACTCAGAGAAGTTAGAAACCTCAGCTTATTCCTCACTTCCTTTCCTTGAGTCCACGCGCTGGTCCCTTCGACGAGGTAGCCAGCAGGCCTTAGAATGCACTCAGAGAAGTTAGAAACCTCAGCTTATTCCTCACTTCCTTTCCTTGAGTCCACGCGCTGGTCCCTTCGACGAGGTAGCCAGCAGGCCTTAGAATGCACTCAGAGAAGTTAGAAACCTCAGCTTATTCCTCACTTCCTTTCCTTGAGTCCACGCGCTGGTCCCTTCGACGAGGTAGCCAGCAGGCCTTAGAATGCACTCAGAGAATTTAGAAACCTCAGCTTATTCCTCACTTCCTTTCCTTGAGTCCACGCGCTGGTCCCTTCGACGAGGTAGCCAGCAGGCCTTAGAATGCACTCAGAGAAGTTAGAAACCTCAGCTTATTCCTCACTTCCTTTCCTTGAGTGCACGCGCTGGTCCCTTCGACGAGGTAGCCAGGCCTTAGAATGCACTCAGAGAAGTTAGAAACCTCAGCTTATTCCTCACTTCCTTTCCTTGAGTGCACGCGCTGGTCCCTTCGACGAGGTAGCCAGCAGGCCTTAGAATGCACTCAGAGAAGTTAGAAACCTCAGCTTATTCCTCACTTCCTTTCCTTGAGTCCACGCGCTGGTCCCTTCGACGAGGTAGCCAGCAGGCCTTAGAATGCACTCAGAGAAGTTAGAAACCTCAGCTTATTCCTCACTTCCTTTCCTTGAGTCCACGCGCTGGTCCCTTCGACGAGGTAGCCAGCAGGCCTTAGAATGCACTCAGAGAAGTTAGAAACCTCAGCTTATTCCTCACTTCCTTTCCTTGAGTCCACGCGCTGGTCCCTTCGACGAGGTAGCCAGCAGGCCTTAGAATGCACTCAGAGAAGTTAGAAACCTCAGCTTATTCCTCACTTCCTTTCCTTGAGTCCACGCGCTGGTCCCTTCGACGAGGTAGCCAGCAGGCCTTAGAATGCACTCAGAGAAGTTAGAAACCTCAGCTTATTCCTCACTTCCTTTCCTTGAGTCCACGCGCTGGTCCCTTCGACGAGGTAGCCAGCAGGCCTTAGAATGCACTCAGAGAAGTTAGAAACCTCAGCTTATTCCTCACTTCCTTTCCTTGAGTGCACACGCTGGTCCCTTCGACGAGGTAGCCAGGCCTTAGAATGCACTCAGAGAAGCTAGAAACCTCAGCTTATTCCTCACTTCCTTTCCTTGAGTCCACGCGCTGGTCCCTTCGACGAGGTAGCCAGCAGGCCTTAGAATGCACTCAGAGAAGTTAGAAACCTCAGCTTATTCCTCACTTCCTTTCCTTGAGTCCACGCGCTGGTCCCTTCGACGAGGTAGCCAGCAGGCCTTAGAATGCACTCAGAGAAGTTAGAAACCTCAGCTTATTCCTCACTTCCTTTCCTTGAGTCCACGCGCTGGTCCCTTCGACGAGGTAGCCAGCAGGCCTTAGAATGCACTCAGAGAATTTAGAAACCTCAGCTTATTCCTCACTTCCTTTCCTTGAGTCCACGCGCTGGTCCCTTCGACGAGGTAGCCAGCAGGCCTTAGAATGAACTCAGAGAAGTTAGAAACCTCAGCTTATTCCTCACTTCCTTTCCTTGAGTCCACGCGCTGGTCCCTTCGACGAGGTAGCCAGCAGGCCTTAGAATGAACTCAGAGAAGTTAGAAACCTCAGCTTATTCCTCACTTCCTTTCCTTGAGTCCACGCGCTGGTCCCTTCGACGAGGTAGCCAGCAGGCCTTAGAATGCACTCAGAGAAGTTAGAAACCTCAGCTTATTCCTCACTTCCTTTCCTTGAGTCCACGCGCTGGTCCCTTCGACGAGGTAGCCAGCAGGCCTTAGAATGCACTCAGAGAAGTTAGAAACCTCAGCTTATTCCTCACTTC